TAAATCCTACCATGCAAACGTACCTCAAAGGACTAAGTGCATAATAAAAACATAGGTAATTGAAGGAATGGTCAAATGTGAACTTGCCTGGTAATAGTTGATGAAGATTATATCGCTCTCAGAAATTTACTTAATAGAGCTATTCGTCACTCTCCGATGAAAATCTATAAGGTCAAACATTGCGTTCACATAAGCAATCATTTCAGAGAACCAAGAAGAACATGCAAATCAAAAGTCTTGGAAAACCAAATGAACATTCAACACACTTAACTAGCATGGAAATATCCTAAGTGCAAAACAACATGTGACATAGGGTGCAAAGATGTGATGTGTACTACAGTGCGTACATGGCATAATAGTAAAACTATCATAGACAGACCATTTTTGTGTGGAAAATGTGTGACAATGGTCCAAGTGGTAGGGTTTGGCTACGGTGACATGGTGCAAAAAGAATCACACCAATCGGAGCTACGGTTTAGGAGATATGGCCAATTGAAGTTTGAATTCAAATCTGAATAAAGTTCAAATTTGAATTTGTCCAAAAGTTTTCAAAGTTGGTTTTCTGGATAAAGCTATTCGAGACGAACATTTTGCCGCTGGTTTCGTCGAATTTGGAGTTATGGTTAAAAAGATACAACCATTCAAAGTTTAGGGGCTAAACTAAAATTTACAGGGACTTGACTGTGAAAGTTTTATTCGCGACCAGGTCCCTGGCCACGTGGCGGCTCGTGGCTGGCCGAATAGCGTTCACTACGGAAGCTTATACAACGAACGGCCATTAAATAAGAAAAACACTACCGCGGCTAAATAAAAAAACCAACACCGGTTTTCACTAAAACCTCACGGGTTTAATAAAACCCTGGTTAACCATTTAAAAAAACAAACAGAACCGGGGGGGTCAGCTCACAGCGAGCGGCAGCGTAGGCATCGGTGACGTGCAGGGGACGGCGGCGTGGCGTTGGGCAGCGACGGGGCGACGGCTACGGCGGCCTCCGATGGGTTCCGGCAGCGGCGAAGTAGACGGAGGGGTGCGGCGTGGCGCGGGCGACCGGATGGTGGTGACGGCGGGCGTCGGCGTGCACTGGACAGGGTGGAGGGAGGCGACGGAGCTCCGGTGCTCCGGCAAGAGCGCGGCGCGTCGGGGCGGCAGCTCCGGCGACCTAGAAGGCAAAACAAGGTGTCAAATCGACGCGTGCGGACTCGGGCAACAAAAAGAAGTAGTCGGTGGAGGCCGGGGTGGCTCATGGGCGACGAAATCCTCCGGTGAACTAGCACGGCTCCGGCGAGATCCAAGTGGCTACGGCGAGCGATGCAAGGGGCATGGTGACGAACGGATTAGCTGAACGGAGGGAGGGGGTCACGGGGGTTTTATAGGCGCAAAGAGGGGCTCGGGGTCGCGGCGGATAGGCCTTATCCCGGGGCAATGGCGCCGGTGGTTGCGGAAGCGGAGTGCGTCCTCATCCAGCGGGAGGAGCGGGAGGTTGGGGACGACGGGGTGGGGCCCTCATGCAGCGGGTGCTGCGTGCGAGCGAGAGGGAGAGGCGAGCGGGCGAGCGACGGGAAGGTGCTTCGGGCGTGGGAGCAGGCCGTGGGCCATAATGGCCGGCTGGGCCACATGGTTTGCCCCTGGGCCGAAACCTGTTTCGGTCCAGGTGGCGCCTCGGTGATTTTTTTAAAAAAAACAAACAAAACAGAAAAGTGCAACAGAGGAAAATTGGAAAGAAAAAAATTACATAGGCATATTATATACCAAAATGTTCAGAAAAATAGAAGCAATAAGATGAACTATTTCTAAAGTTCAAATAAATTCCATAAAAATTCATAAATGTCAAACAGTGCTACTATTACATTTAAAATCAATAAAAATCATTTTTAAAATAGCAAAATGATTTCAAATTTATTTTCTCCTAATTTTCCATTGAAGGGAATCATTTTACCCTTATTTCCATTCATTTATTTTTAGGAGAAAAATATTTTGAACTAAAACTAGATAACTTCCAAGATGATTTTGAATTTGAAATTTCAAACAACTTCAAAAGGAAAATGAGTTCCAAATAACTTCAAAGTGACTTCCAAATTATTTATTTGAAACTCCCAACTCTCTTTCTTCAATTTTGAAGAAGTCATTTTATCTTCCCTCATGAACTCATTGAGTTGCTTAAAGTTTCTAAGTTTGAAATATTTCAAATGGAATTCAAATCATTTTCAAACCCATTTTCATTTCTTTAAATGGAAGAAGTCATATTATCTTCACTCTAGGATCTTGTGATGAAATGAATTTGAATTCTTCGAGATCAAAATGCAAGATGAAAGTTTTGGGAAAGTCCTTTTATTCCCTCTCATTCAACTTTCAAAAAGTTTCAATTTCCACTCAGTTTCACACAATCAATCACACAGAAATCAAAGAAACAATCACAATTATTTATTTAATATAACATTCCAAAATTTAGAATTTTGGGATGTTACAACGATGGCGTGGTGACGGTGATGGTGATGTGATCCACGCAGGGTGTCGCCTAAGCACTACGTGAAATATGACCAAAGGAGTAAACCGTGAAGGGAGACGTCGCACACGGCTTGGAACAATTGGTGTGTCTCCAAGGGGTGCCCTGCCCACATATATAAAGGATGAGGGGAGGAGGCCGGCCACCAGGGGCACGCCAAGGAGAGGGGAGTCCTACTAGGACTCCAAGTCCTAGTAGGATTCGCCCCCCCCCCCTCTTTTCCTTCTCATGGAAGGGGAAAGGGGGAAGGGAGAGGGAAGAGAAGGAAAGGGGGGGCGCCCCCTCCCCTGGTCCAATTCGGACTCCCCATGGGAGGGGGGTGCGGCCACCCCTTGTGGGATGCCTCCCCTCTCCCCTATGGCCCATGTAGGCCCAAATATTTCCCCGGGGGGTTCCGGTAACCCCTCGGTACTTCGATAAATATCCAAAATGTCCCGAAACCATTCCGGTGTCCGAATACCTTCATACAATATATCAATCTTTACCTCTTGACCATTTCGAGACTCCTCGTCATGTCTGTGATCTCATCCGGGACTTCGAACAAACTTCGGTCATCAAAACACATAACTCATAATACAAATCGTCATCGAACGTTAAGCGCGCGGACCCTACGGGTTCGAGAACTATGTAGACATGACCGAGACACATCTCCGGTCAATAACCAATAGCGGAACCTGGATGCTCATATTGGTTCCTACATATTCTACGAAGATCTTTATCGGTCAAATCACAATGACAACATACGTAATTCCCTTTGTCATCGGTATGTTACTTGCCTAAGAGTCGATCGTCAGTATCCTTATACCTAGTTCAATCTCGTTACCGCCAAGTCTCTTTACTCATTCTATAATGCATCATCCCGTAACTAACTCATTAGTCACATTGCTTGCAAGGCTTATCGTGATGTGTATTACCGAGAGGGCCCAGAGATACCTCTCCGATACTCGGAGTGACAAATCCTAATCTCGATCTATGCCAATCCAACAGACACCTTTGGAGACACCTGTAGAGCATCTTTATAATAACCCAGTTACGTTGTGACGTTTGATAGCACACAAGGTGTTCCTCCGGTATTCGGGAGTTGCATAATCTCATAGTCAAAGGAATATGTATAAGTCATGAAGAAAGCAATAACAATAAAACTTAACGATCATTATGCTAAGCTAACGGATGGGTCATGTCCATCCCGTTCATCAAATGGAAACACATGTCTATGGTCGGGAAACTTAACCATCTTTGATTAACGAGCTAGTCAAGTAGAGGCATACCAGGGACACTCTGTTTTGTCTATGTATTCACACAAGTATCAAGTTTCCGGTTAATACAATTCTAGCATGAATAATAAACATTTATCATGATATAAGGAAATATAAATAACAACTTTATATTGCCTCTAGGGCATATTTCCTTCAGTTTGTACCAGTAGCTATGTGTTTAATCTCTCTCTCGTGTTCTTGAGATGTCACGATCTTGATGTATCGCGGTCTTTGTTGATATAGTTGGATCATATGGTGTTTTCCCCTCTCTATCTTGTTGTGAATTGAGTTTTCCCTTTGAGATTCCATTTTATCGGATTGAATACTTTTATGGATTTAAAAACACTTGATGTATGTCTTGGTATGAATACCTGTGATGACAACGGGGTATCATATTGATTCACTTGATATATGTTTTGGCACTCAATTTGCGGATTCTCGAGATGACATTGGGGTAATCTATGCATAGGGGTTGATCCACGTTCTCATTTTTGTTTCTCTGGTAGAAATCTTGAGGCACTTTTTGAGATTCTTTGTATTGGATTGAGTATTGTTTGATGCTAATCAACTCACGGATACTCGCGGTGGAACATACAACACAAGTAGCAAGAAAAAAAAGGGATTTTTGGCCCAAAATGACTGTTCCAGGGCACGGCCGCAGTTTTTAGCCATCTGTTGCATGTTGCCTGTTGGAGATGCTCTTACAAATTTATACTCTCTCCGTAAAGAAATATAAGAGCGTTTAGATCACTACGTTTAAGAGCGTTTAGATCACTACGTTAGTGATTTAAACATAGTGATCTAAGCGCTTTTATATTTCTTTACGGAGGGAGTACAACATAACCAGAAATACAACAAAAACGTTTCATGCCACAACCATATCATATTGATGTTCTGGTCAGCATTAACAAAATAAGAACATCATCGATTTCAGTGCCATGAAGACCTACTGCTCTAGACCATGCTTGAGCCAAGAACAACTCAAGCTGATATGCAAGAAGCAGATCTTATACAGGAACCATCTGCACATATACTTATCCACTTCAGGTAACATCGGGTTACTTACTATTCCACAAACCTATATTATAAGATGAAAAAGGAATACAAAACAAGGGTAGAGAGACGGGTTGGACACGGAGCATACTGCTCCTACATTGTGGGGATAGCGCGGTTGTAGTGCCCGTAAGGCAGATAATCTGGGGGATAGCTCGGCGCGGTGTTCCGGCACGGCCAGCGAGCATCAAGGTTCCAGCTTCAGGGAGACAACTCGGGACTGTCGGTTCCGCTTTGCCGCCCTCACAAACACCACGGATAGGCACGATGGTGCCCACCATGGCCTCCGGACTTCTTGCTCCCCTTTCAGGCAGGCAACTGTGGATCAAATTAGCAGAGTCAGACAGAGCAATCTTCTAAGTGTGGACACACAACCAATGGAGTATGATGTTCATCTATCAATAAAATACAACAGATCTAGGTATTGAATAATGTCAAATTCATTTATGTTGCTCATTTACACCAAACCAAGATGCTGAAAAGAACCGATCTATATATTAGCATCATAAACTTGCGGCCAAAAAATGTATTTACTGATGAAAGCTAACAGAACAGAAAGCAAATTGGCAGCTGAACCGTGCTGGCACAACTGTTTTCCACAAGACTCAGCTCACACTCTTAAGCTTTTATGTAGCATGAAGAGGCAGTACCAACTAATTGAGCTTGAGCTCAAAAAGAAAAGAGCAGTGGTGAGAGAAATAGGTTTGCACTCCGATTGACTGCATGGTGCATCATACAGTCAAATGAAAACTAATGAGCAAAATATGAAGGAATCAAGTACTGAAATGGTTATCACGGTAGCAGAGATGATTTATAGATGCTCTCAAGGAAGAAACGGGAATATACCAACCTTTAATGCGCCTCAACTCTTTGCACAATGTGATAAAGTCTCCCCATTTCATATGGCACCGCCTGATAAACCGCAGAATCTGCTCGGTAGTAAACATCGACAAGCTCTCTAGATACTCTCCATTGACACTATTTTCTTCAAAAACTTGTCTGTAGCCACCAAGATTTATCTCTTCAAGCCACAAGCCGACATCCTGAAAGAAAACAATAACCTTATTAGGTGAATACCCTTTAGCTTTTGCATCTGATAGTGGTTCAAATTTAAATCAGAAGACAGATGGGTAGCTAGATCAGTTAGAACAAATGCAGACAGTCAAACATAAAGAATGAATTAAGAAATAAATTTAGAGTAAATGCCCTTTAAGAGGGTTGAATGAAATGCCTATCTAAATTTAAAGTGACCAAACCCAGATCATACCAATGGCTACTGGTGATTGGGAAAAAATAATGCAGATCTAAATAGTAACCAACTTGTGGGCATGTCAAGCAAGCATACATCTCTGAGCACGCAGAACACTGAGATGGTCCACTCCAAAGAAAAATAAAACAGCACCAACCACTCCCAAGCATTGCTGGAGCACTCTGCTTAGTCCTCCAGCCTTACCTGCATTTTCCCCCACAAAATCGCGTTGCTTAGTTTGGGAAAACTTCCTAGCATGGCTATTTTACCAACTAAACTAGCTGCCTTGTGAAGCAATTCTAGGAGTGATTGTAGTTTTGTAGTGTGGTCTATTATTTTAGCGAAATAGAGCTAGGATTGCCGGCAGAAGTCCTTTAGCCAATTTTCCACTCCATATTGCCAGTTTTTCAGAAGACAGGAGCGCCTTAAAGGTGCGAAAGAAATGATCATTCAAGAAGGCAATCTTTTTTCCTAAATCCAAACAATACGTAGCAATTTAACAAAGGACTCAGACCTCATTATGCTAAAATTTAGGAGCTAGTTTGAAATCTTACCAATAGAACGAAAAGGTAGAATACGTCCCAAACGACATGGCATAAAAAACCGTTCCCAGGGATCTATGGTTCATCTCATCAAAGTTAAGACCGGCTTCATCCAAGTATCAAACACAACACGTGGTCAATACAAGACACACCAAAGTAAGGCTCAATTATAGCCCAATCCCATTCTGGCTCAGTCCCAGGCCTGAGTACAATGCAGCCTGGGAAATGTTGCAGAAGTGATATATAGTACTCATGGTTGGACGAGTATCATTTGGTTAATCAAACTGTTGATATTGATTTAATTATTTGCCATAATGATGAAGCAACAGGGAACCAAGTATCACTTTCACCTCATGAGCTCACCATACCCCCTCACTATGGTACGTTTAAGAGAATGGGTCAGGCATACGGAGAGGAGTAGTTAGGTACTCACGAATATTTATCCTTTGCATATAGTTGAGTAGAAACCACGATCAAGCGTCACACTAGATCAGCAAACGGGTTCCTAATAGTGGACTAAATTATCTCAAAAAGGGTCAAGGACAAACAAGATAAAACTAAAGAACTAAAACACTGCCCACAAAATCGACAAAGGGTTGTAGGGGCAAATTTGTATGAATCCTAAGAAGGAATCGGACTGTCAAAGCTCCTAGGAATATTTACGAAGTAAGCTGCAGAACGAAAATACAGTGAATTTCAAGAAAGTTGGCATTCAAGTAACAACGGAAAGAGGAAAACCAGCGTCACTACAGATTAGCACCTCGACAGTCCATATGAAGAAATCAAGCGGCTCCGGAGACTTCCCACGGCTCATCTCCCTCCTCCCGTTAGCCAACTCCACTGCAAGACCCAACCCAAGGTTCAGTGTCAGATCTAGATGATGTGGCGCGTGCGCACCGGCGCACCCAACATTAGCTCAAGTTAGTTCAAGGCTAATAATTCCTTAATGAATAACCAAAACCTCATACCGAAAGAAACGATGCCCGAGACCGCGGACGGGGTGGAGACGGCAGGGACGCGACGGGAGTAGAAGGGGAACGGCGATGGAGTCGAGATGAGCGTGAGAGGTGGAGGAGTTGGGTGGGTGAGGCGCGGCGGTGAAGGGAAGCTACGGCACGATGGGGGATATAGAGCACGGTGGTGGTGGACTGTAGGAGAGGATTGGAGCTTGAGTAGAGCAGAACAGGAGAGCAGCGTTGGGGAAAGAGGAAGGGATCGGGGTGGGAGGAAGAGGAAAGCTACGGGAGTGAGGATAGGATAAGTCAGCTGCTGCACAGAGATGGATTGTGACGGCTGGGATTGTTTGGCCGACATGATTGGTGGTAGATGTTGGGGATATATTTCACTAGAAATGAAAAACTACATAAATTTGTTGGTTTCATCCAAGTCTACTGATATTTGTAAATTTGTCTAAATTGACGAGTCACACCTCAAAAAAAATTGTAACAGTTTCTCTATTTTTTTATCGGAAAGGTTTTTTCCATCCCATTTTTATAGAAACATAGAACAACATCCAACATATCATCATTGTACAGCTCTCAGGTAAAGCGAATAGTTGCATCAGAATTACATAAACTGGCCCTAAGCCAGGACAAAGAGCGTCCAACCAACACATAACAAAATAACCCTATAGGAAATCTTCAGTAGTTGTTTGCATGTAGCTCGTTGTCCTTCCCAGGTGAATCATCAGACCCGGGTGATCCTCAACAGTTCTCCTTTTTGATGGTCTAGGATGAGCATGCATCGTAGTAGTAACGCAGATTGTTGATCGTCCAAAAAGGATCCTCCATTGATGAAGTCGGTTGCTTGCTCTTCCTAACAACAATCTGACATCGCGCCAAACAAATTCCTAAAAACAATGCTCATTACGGATAGTCAGCGGGGCCCACAAGACAGCTACTCAAAACATGCTAAACACATAAGTCTTTTTTATTAGCACACCACATGATAGCCCACTCCCTAAAATTATGAGGCATGCATCTTTTCAGATATTCGTCTAAGCATTCCTGGACATACTTAGCTGCAACACAGTCAAAGAACACATGATAAGTTCTTTCACCACAACATTGTATGGTTATATCCTCAATTCTTGCCGCTTAGAAAGGTTATCTTGAGTAAGGATTCAATTGTGTAGCACCAACCAAAAAAATATGAAATTTAGGAGGAACATGGATCTTCCATAAATATTTCCAAAAGGGGCAAAAATCCTACCCAAATTACTCGGCTGGTAAAATTTTTTTGCAGAATATAACCCAGGCGGATGTAGAAACCATCTAGGGCTATCAGTCATGCTTCCAAGAAACAGCAATAATTTATTAAGGACAGGAGATCATTCCACCTTGGAAGAAACTCAGGACCAACACAGCCCCTCAAAGTGAGTTCAAGCTTCCTTCCACCCTAGACATGAGCCACTATGCAATTTTGTTGGTGACAAATGGCAAACACATCAAAAAACCCAGTTTCGAGAAAACAATCTTCTATTGGAAAATCATGCGAGAAAATTATGTGTTGACCATTTCCTACAACTTATCTAAAGAAAGGTCTAGCAACGGTAAGAACCGAATTAGGCCTTTCCAAAAAGGATGGGCTACTCCAGGTTTAGACCAAAGAACCTTTGATTTATTAGTCTTGTATTTATGATCCACAAGGATCTTCCCATTTTTGTTCTCACAAGTATAGGGGATCAATCGTGGTCCTTTCCATAAGTAAGAGTGTCAGACCCAATGAGGAACAAAAAGAATTAATAAGTGTTTTCAGCAAGGTATTCTCTACAAGTGTTGTAAGATAGTAGTAACATTAACAAGCAATAAGTAACACAAGTAGCAAGGTGCAGCAAGTGGCCCAATCCTTAATATTTCTAAGGATAAGCCGGATGTACTTCCTATAGTGATTAAAGTGCTCTTGAGGACACACGGGGATTCATCTAGTTACTTGCATCATGTTACATTGATATGTGTTCATTGCTTTAATAAATTCTTATGTGGGTGGACCTGTGCTAAGGTGTTGTTCTTACTTGAACAAACAACCTACTTATGATTACCCCTTCTCGCAAGCATCCACAACTACAATAGATGAATTAAGATAAATCTAACCATAGCATTAAACGAAAGGATCCAAATCAGCCCCTTACGAAAAAGCTCTTAAACTGTGATTTAGGCTTCTGTCACTGCCGCAACCCATCATCTACTAACTACTCCCATAATGCCTTCCCCTAGGCCCAAACATGGTGAAGTGCTATGTAGTCGACGTTCACATGACACCACTAGAGGAAGAACAACATAACACATCATCAAGACATTGAACGAATACCAACTTCACATGATTACACTTAACAAGACTTCTCCCATGTCCTCAAGAACAAACAGAAAAACTCACGAAGCCTGTTTATGTTCATGATCAGAGGAGATAAATATGTAACTGACAATCTGAACATATAATATTCCAACAAGTAAACCAACTAGCAGAAGGAAATATGCCCTAGATGCAATAATAAAGTTGTTATTTATATTTCCTTATATCATGATAAATTTTTATTATTCATGCTAGAATTGTATTAACCGGAAACTTAGTACATGTGTGAATACATATACAAACAAAGTGTCCCTAGTATGCCTCTACTAGACTAGCTCGTTAATCAAAGATGGTTAAGCTTCCTAACCATAGACATGTGTTGTCACTTGATGAACGAGATCACATCATTAGAGAATGATGTGATGGACAAGACCCATCCGTTAGCTTAGCATAATGATCATTTAGTTTTATTGCTATTGCTTTCTTCATGACTTATACATGTTCCTCTGACTATGAGATTATGCAACTCTCGACTACCAGAGGAAAACCTTGTGTGCTATCAAACATCACAACATAACTGGGTGACTATAAAGATGCTCTACAGGTGTCTCCAATGGTGTTTGTTGAGTTGGCATAGATCGAGATTAGGATTTGTCACTCCGTGTATCGGAGAGGTATCTCTGGGCCCTCTCAGTAATGCACATCACTATGAGCCTTGCAAGCAATGTGACTAATGAGTTAGTTACGGGATGATGCATTGCGGAACGAGTAAAGAGACTTGCCGGTGACGAGATTGAACTAGGTATGATGACACCGACGATCGAATCTCGGGCAAGTAACATACCAATGACAAAGGGAACAACGTATGTTGTTATGCGGTTTGACCGATAAAGATCTCCGTAGAATATGTAGGAACCAATATGAGCATCCAGGTTCCGCTATTGGTTATTGACCGGAGATGTGTCTCGGTCATGTCTACATAGTTCTCGAACCCGTAGGGTCCGCACGCTTAACGTTCGATGACGATTTGTATTATGAGTTATGTGATTTGATGACCGAAGTTTGTTCGGAGTCCCGAATGAGATCACGGACATGAAGAGGAGTCTCAAAATGGTTGAGAGGTAAAGATCGATATATTGGAAGGTTATATTCGGACACCGGAATGGTTCTGAAGTGTTTCGGGTATTTTTCGGAGTACCGGGAGGTTACCGGAACCCCCGGGAAGTAGTGGGCCTTAATGGGCTTTAGGGGAAAGGAGAGAAGGGCCTCAAGGGGTGGCCGCCCCCCCATGGCTGGTCCGAATTGTACTAGGAGGGGGAGCCCCCTCCTTCCTTCTCCTCTCTTCCTCCTTCCCTCCTTCTCCTAGTTGGAATAGGAAAGGGGGATCCTACTTGGACCGGGAGTCCAAGTAGGACTCCCCCCTTTGGCGTGCCCCCCTTGGGCCAGCCTCCTCTTCCCCCTCCTTTATATATGTGGGAGGGGGCACCCCAAAGGCACAACAAGTCTTCTTTTAGCCGTGTGCGGTGCCCCCCTCCACAATCACACACCTCAGTCATATCGTTGTAGTGCTTAGGCGAAGCTCTACGCCGGTAACTTCATCATCACCGTCAACACGCCGTCGTGCTGATGAAACTCTCCCTCGTCCTCAACTGGATCAAGAGCTCGAGGGACGTCATCGTGCTGAACGTGTGCTGAACACGGAGATGTCGTACGTTCGGTGCTAGGATCGGTTGGATCGCGAAGACGTTCGAATACATCAACCGCATTACGAAACGCTTCCGCTTTCGGTCTACGAGGGTACATGGACACACTCTCCCCTCTCGTTGCTATGCATCACCTAGATAGATCTTGCGTGATCGTAGGATTTTTTTTGAAATACTGCGTTCCCCAACAGTGGCATCCGAGCCAGGTCTATGCGTAGATGTTATATTCACGAGTAGAACACAAAGAGTTGTGGGCGATAATAGTCATACTGCTTACCACCAACGTCTTACTTTGATTCGGCGGTATTGTTGGATGAAGTGGCCCGGACCGACATTACATGACCGCGTTCATGAGACTGGTTCTACTGACGTGCTTCGCACACAGGTGGCTGGCGGGTGTCTGTTTCTCCAACTTTAGTTGAATCGAGTTTGACTACAGCCGGTCCTTGTTGAAGGTTAAAACAACATACTTGACGAAAAATCATTGTGGTTTTGACGCGTAGGTAAGAACGGTTCTTGCTAGAAGCCCATAGCAGCCACGTAAAACTTGCAACAACAAAGTAGAGGACGTCCAACTTGTTTTTGCAGGGCATGTTGTGATGTGATATGGTCAAGATGTGATGAGATATAAATAGTTGTATGAGATGATCATGTTTTGAAAAAGTTATCAGCAACTGGCAGGAGCCTTATGGTTGTCGCTTTATTATATGAAATGCAATCGCCATGTAATTGTTTTACTTTATCACTAAGCGGTAGCAATAGTCGTAGAAGCGATAATTGGCGAGACGACAATGATGCTACGATGGAGATCAAGGTGTCAAGCCGGTGACGATGGTGATCATGATGGTGCTTTGGAGATGGAGATCAAAAGGCAGAAGATGATGATGGCCATATCATATCACTTATTTTGATTACATGTGATGTTTATGCTTTATGCATCTTATTTTGCTTAGTACGGCAGTAGCATTATAAGATGATCCCTCACTAAATTTCAAGGTATAAGTGTTGTCCCTGAGTATGCACCGTTGCTACAGTTCGTCGTGCCGAGACACCACATGATGATCAGGGGTGATAAGCTCTACGTTCACATACAACAGGTGCAAGCCAGTTTTGCATGTGCAGAATACTCAGGTTAAACTTGACAAGCCTAGCATATGCAGGTATGGCCTCGGAACACTAAGACCGAAAGGTCGAACGTGAATCATATAGTAGATATGATCGACATAGTGATGTTTACCATTAAAAACTACTCCATCTCACGTGATGATCGGACATGGTTTAGTTGATATGGATCACGTGATCATTTAGATGACTAGAGGG